ATCATCATGATATTAGCATTTGACAGAAAATTCAAGGTATTTTGAAATCATCTCAATGCTGTGAAATGCTACAGGTTATTAACAAACTGACTGCTTGCTGGTGGCAAAGTCTTTCCAATAAAAAAAAAATGGTGCATTAAGAATTTAGATCAACCTGCATCTTTATTGCATTAGGACCCGAACCAATGTATGTAGATTCTTTTTAAAAATCCATAAAAGGTCTATTAATCCTCTTAGCAGAATTGGTAGTGATCATTTCTCATTAGTTGGATCTCTTGCATAGTCAAACATTTGAGAACAGTTCACCCATTTTCTCTTTGCTTGAATTGTGGGCAGTGGTAAGGGTATTCCACAAGCTACGTAAATGTTAACCTTTTTTTATATTTGGCAAAAACATTTTAGAATCGTTCAATTCAGTTTATTTATATAGCGCCAATCAACACACATCATCTTAAAGCCCTTTACAGCGAGAATTCAACCAGATCATACAGTGAGATTGGTTCAAAGTTTTCTATCTAAGGAAAATCAGCTGATTGCAGCGACTCTTTGAGTCAAAAGCAATTCCTTCACACCAAGCTTCCTGTAGGGACAGTGGAGAGGAAAACTCCCTTTTAACAGGAAGAAACCTCCAGGTCTTGACCCCCAGTCTGCCAAGGCCGACTGGGGTCCAAGGAGAGAGAAGCAGACATAGAAAAAGAAGCAGAGATACAAAAGGCAGCTCTCAACCAGCTTCCCAGGCGGCCCCGTCCAGGAAACACACAGCTAGGCAGACAAGCTCCGAGCCAGCTTCCATGTCAGAGCATGAAAGAGAGATAATACAGTTAGTCACAGTAAGAGAAACAGCACTACAGCTCCAACATCTATAAACAAAGGCATTGATAAAAGGAAAACAGCTGATATTTCTATCCAGGATGGAGTCACAGCCAAACAGGAACAGACCAGATGAAGCTAAAGCAGAGATATTGCAACATTAGAGATTTAACTAAAAATTACTGCAGAATGGAAGAACATATTTAGAATAATGCAAATAATGAAAAGAGGTCCCTATGTCCTCCAGCAGTCTAAGTCTGTAGCAGCATAATTATAGAGACCGCTCGGGATAGCCTAAGCTTTGATAAAAAGTCAATATAATCATCTGGTCCATTCCTTTCTAGGCTTCTTCTGACTTCTGTCTGCTCTCTGTTTTACTCTTCTAAATAGATTTTTGTTCCATCTCTTCAACTGTTCTTCCCATCAGTGTTCCAGTTTTCCTCCACTCTCATTCCGTCTTCTTTCTCTCTCCTCAGCTATCAGTCTTACACTACCCTAAAACAGAGACATTAATCAAAACCACTTCCAAAAACATTAGATTGTAGAACAGGAAAACATATTATTATATCATCTGATTAAATAAGCTTTATCATAAAGGAAAGTTTTATGACTTCCGTTAATAGTAGACAGGGCGTCTGCCTTACGGGCTAAAACTGGTAGTTTGTTCCACAGGAGAGGAGCCATTCAGTCTTGTTTGAACATCCAGTGGTGCCAAATTCCCATGCTGGAGATTCAGCATGAGCCAGGGTAGAGCCATGGCTGATGGTTTCTAATGACTGCGGACAGAGATACTGGAACCTCAATGTCTCCGTCCATAGCAAGGCCAGATTAATAAAAAATATATTGCAAATTATGTGCAACTGCTTGGGAAGACTTATCCAAATGTTAATCAGGCTTTATGTGTAGATTTTTTTTTTTTTTTTTTTTTTATGATTTTAGAATGTTTGTCCATTTGTTATATGATTGAAGTTGTTTGTTTTACTATCATGCCAGCCAAAAAAAGAGTTTATAAGTTAATGACCAAGATAATTTGAATTTAAACTTATTATTCAAACTTACAGTTTATTTCTTTAACTCAGCTTACTAAGTAAAGCACTTTAGATAGAATAGACACATATTGATGTTGCTTTTATTTATGTTATAATGATTCTCCATTTACAGCAATTCAAAACACATTTAAGATCAGAATATATCACACAAAGAGACATTAATAATACAGACAAACTCATTTTCAATACCTTCTTGAAGGTTTCAAAAGCGTCATAGGAATCTATATTTTAATTTATGAAATAAAACCTCATATTATCATCTGACAGGAAATTAATTCTGTCATCTCTTGCAATGAAGCTGCTGATCTCCTCCATGTTTGTTTTTTTAGGGTTCTTCAGAGCATTGAGACAGGAACCGGTCAGCTTTGGAGACATTGGAGGAAAGTCTCACGTCACGTACGTCAGCTGGTATGAGTGTGGCACCCCCATACCTGGAAAGTGGTAGATATGCCAAACGTTTCCCCTGGATGATGAATTTATCTGCCGTAAGAAGAATGATGAGATGCCTGCTCGGGCATGATGGGAACGAACCCATCTTGTTGGACCTCTACATGTGTTTGATTTTCCCCTGCAACTTTTCAGGTGTGAACATTCTGAGGAGCATTGGGTCTCTAAAAACCCAACAACATTTGTCTATTTATGAAAGAAAAAAGAATTTCAACGTGGATGACAGTAGGTCCAGACAAAACCAAAACAGCATGCAGTGCTCATAACGATACTGTTGGGAAGCTGGCTCCCAAACTGTATTAACTCTGTATTATTTATCAAAGGTTTGTTAATGAACAGTGTGCGTTCATTCAGACGCCTGATGCTAAAGGAGAAACACACGTCCAACTCTGATTTGTGGTGTGTTGGTACAGAAAATGCAACATTCACAGTACATATGCAGTGCAAATACACACATCCAGAATGGTGCTTCTGCATTCACTGAGGGTTTAAAATCAGTTGCGGATTGCACACTTGTTAAACGTCTGTTCAGATATGTATATGGTGTGAAATATGATACGTTTCTCTGGTTTAGTACATTTTTTGTCGCTTTAACAGAACTTAATCTAATGTAGGAATGCCAAAGTTCAGTAGCAGTGTTTGAGATTTTTATTCTGTTTTGTTTTAAAGGCAAGTACGAGTCAAATCTATGTAGCTCGTAAATGTTAATTGTATAAAATATACGAAATGTAAATAACTTGAAAATCTTCATACATTTCTTTACTGATTTTACTTGCTTATTGTGCAGTTTATGACTCCAGCAATAAACCTCATTTTTATATTTACAGTTTGTGGTTTCTTTATTGTTACTACTTTGGGACAGTTTTAGATGGAGGTTTTTATCTGCCTCCAACCAACATGTTAAACAGCAGAAGAGACTGGTGACCCGACCCATAGAAATATACGGTACTGGAGCATATTAACAGAAGCAGCTTCAACTGCCAACAAACCTTTAATTTATTGCACAAATAAGCTTTTAAAGGTATTTCTGAAGATGATCTCAGGTTATTATGATGTGCCAATCTGAGTGGGGGCTTGTTCCCAACTTTGGAACCCATAGTGTAACAAAACATGGTTGTTGAATCGATCAAATGTATAACTTATTTGGCTGCAATACTTTAAAACAAGTGATATTTTGCTTTCATATAATCAGTCTCGTTAAAAGAAAGCAAGTAATGATTTTAGTGGTGCTGTTATATTAAGTATTGGTGTTAATTTTACTCCAAACATCTCAAACACTAATATTTATTAAATGCTACGGGGCCAGAGAAGAAGTTTGGTGGCTACAGTGGTTTAGCCTGTTGCTCAGCACTGCACAATGGTGAGGAGGAGGGGGCCTTGTGCACACTACTGAGGAAAGGAATTCTCACAAGAACCAAAACACCAATTAAACAATAAAACAGTGGGAGGAATTTCTATTCTAAAGAAAAATGAAGGAAGCTTGCAATCCAATCAGCACCATTAGGTCCTGTGACCACAAACAGCAAATAAAGCAGGTGAAGTGTCTTGCCCAAAGAAACGGACACAGACAGTGGGGGCTTGAACCAGCAACCTGATGATTGGCTTCTGAGCAACAGTCACCCTTAGCTCTAGCAGAAAATGCACATTCTTTGCACCACTAGGGGTTTATCTGTGACAGTCCCTTTAACTGGGATACAGAATCAGAAATACTTATATCTATATATATATATATCTATATATATATATATATATATATATATATATACCCTTAGTGGTGCAAAGAATATATATATATAGATATATATGTGTGTGTATATGTGTATATATATATATATATATATACGGTATATATATATATGTAGATATACACCTATATATATATACACAACCAACCACACAAGATAAAGATAAAATATATACACATATAGCTCTTCTGTATACATATGTATATATATATATGCATATGTAAAACTAAATCCAAGATAACCCCCATTAAAAATCTCAACTTGAACAGTTTCCTTCAGTCTTTATCGGTCAGTAAATATTCAGTTCAATCCAATTCAGTGTCTGTATATAGTTTTGTAAAACTGAACATTTTTAGAAAAAGCATTTCTTTCAATTTCATTGTTTCTCTGTATTGATCTATTTAATACATCCCCATAAAATTTAATAATTTTATTTTGAGACATGAAATATTTCATAAATGTTTTTAACTTTAACCTTAAAAAAAAAAAAAGAAAGTTCACTCAGGACAGTTACAAACAGACCAAAAAAAGTTATATAACCATAAGTTATAAACATGATGCGTCTGTATATAAAAACAGGAACAATCAATGTTATAAGGAAACATGCATACATTAAGAGTTTACTTCTTTCCAGCATAGAAAATAAAAAATGTGTTAACAGCCGAGAAGAGACGTTACGCTCCTCTAAATTATTAACAACCTCATGTATTTAGGCAGTTCCTCATGGCAGGCCAAACCACATACTCCCATGTCACAACTCACAGCCAACCACAACCCACAGGCAGGAAAACAAAGCAGGAATACCAGCATTACTGCAGTTTTTCCACAGCAGAGTGAGAAGCGGACGAGCCAAACCAAACTTCTTTTCAACTCACAAACCATAGAAAAAGAAGATTAGGAAAACAAAAACATAGGATATAAATGAGCACATTAAGAAAAGACAAACAGATCAAACTGGGTCTTAATTCTTTATTAGATTCAAGAGAAAAAAAAGGAAAAGTTAACATTTTTACATATACAGCTAATCTCACTTGAGAGGAATTTGATTTGATAATATTAGTAAAAACCAATGAGAACAGATATTAATACCAACATGGTGGTGAAGTTAATCAAACAGAGGAAAAAAAAAAAAGAAACAAAACTGAGTTTCTTTGTGATAGTGTCCTACACAGTAAGCTCACAGCTGTTAACTTCATCACCGACTCCGACCCCAATCGCAAAACACTTTATTAAGAAAAGGATGATAAACAGTTTGTGCAACGGCATGTTTTGGTCTCCGAAGTGTGTGCGCAGAGACGGGATGCTTTGTCACGATGATGGACACAAAAGGGCAGGAGGAGGAGCATACATCAGGGCCAAACAGAGAGGGGAGGACCAACAGCAAACAGACTGGGATAGAGTGGCGGCCGGTCTTTTTTCTTTAATAATTGGGCTTGATATTTGTATGGAGCACAGAGCAATAGACCTTTTCCCTGCACACATCTTAAACAGTTGGAGCCACATAATGGGGTGGAAGGGGGGGGGGGGGGGGGGGGGGGGTGTTGTTAGTATCACCCTAACCTTCTTTTACCGATACCCGGGACCGGGCTGAGTGTAGCCCTGGCCGTAATGGGGGCGATTGCGAGCGTAGGGGTTACCAGCGCCAGGTGGGGGAGTGACGGCAGTGCCTGGCGGCGGGGTGAATCCCGGGCGGGTTTGAAACCCCGAGCCGGGTTGGGAGCCAGCTGGCATGCTGTAGTTGGCAGGCTGGGAGCCCTGGGAGGTATAGTTTTGGGGAGGGAAGGCTCCTGGTGGGTATTGTTGAGCTCCCTGAGATGGATGAGGCTGCTGCTGTTGCTGCCCAGTCTGGAAGCCAGGAGTTGGGGCAGGACCAGGGCCTGGAGCCTGAGAGGAGGGCGGAGGGTAGTTCTGAAACTGCTGCTGCTGCTGCTGGGGCTGTGGAGGGCCAGGCTGAGGAGCCCCAGGCTGAGAACTATATCCAGCTAAAAAATAAGAGTTCTCATTAGTGTTCTCAATGGGTTAAATGAAGTGAAAACAGCAGCTGCCTGATTTTTTCTAAAGTCTTCCATCTTACCAGGGTACTGCATACCGTACTGCTGCTGCGGCGGTGCGCCTGGCTGCTGTGGAGGGTATCCACCTGGAGCCTGGTACTGCTGATACACCTGACCTGGAGATGCAGGTGCAAACGGCATTGTTACACAGTTATTACACACACTTTGACAATAAACTGGCTACCTACTACCCAATACCAATATAACCTCATTTACACACCCAGATGGATTAAAAGTGACATAAATGAAAGATCATTATGCCCCAATTTTTTTTTAGCTCAAACCCTAAATCTGACTGCCTTCAACTTACTTTGCATTGCAACATGCAGACTTCTCAGATTCTCCACTTTAGAAGCTTTCAAAATGTATTTATATAAAACAGAAAAAAAAGACGACCTGAAATATGTTTGTCTAATTATTTTAAAAAGATCAGAAGATATCTGATATGTCTGTATGATGGTCTGCTCAAATCTTAAGTAAGCATCTGAATTTCTAATCTTTTACTTTTTTATTCAAGAGAGGACAAAAACAAATCCTGTTCAAACACAAAACAGCTGTGTGATTTCAGATTTAGAAAGAAACACACAATCCATTGCTTGCTATACTAATTGATCACTTTTTCCATCAACTGTTCAGGTGTGTGACACACAAGCAAAAATTGGCAAACAAATGCTAGTCCTAAAAGAGTTCACAATCCTGCTTCCAAATGTCCAAGTTATGGAAAACAGTCCCCATGTAAAAAGGCTCTTCGAAAGATGTTCTGCTGTTCAGGAGTAAATAAAAACCAGCAGAAATAAATAGGAATAGATTTTATAGCCAGTTTCCTACTGCTGCTATGGCAAAGCATGGACCTGCAGATATTATTTGGTTCCTCTTCCAGAACTATAAAATATTTTAACTGAAATACGTAGAAGCAAAACAAAGCAAAGATATTTTTTCCTATAATGATTTCATAAGAAACCTGCGTAGAAAGCCAATTGCTGCCAGGTGTGTCAAATCAGATCAGTCGTGATCAATGATTAAAGAAGAAATTAGCAAAATTCCAGCACTAGGTGGGGCTAATGAGCACTGTCTGTGGAGGCTCCTTACCTCTACTACAGCTGCTTTTTGCTTGTTTTCTATGGCGTCACATTTATTTCAAAACACCTGTGAGCAAAATGAACACGCTTACATGTATGTAAACTACTGCTGCGCATGGTTCATCTATCACCTCCTCCCTATTTGGGCTTTGCAGACTTAGGCCCCGTCCACACGAAGATGAACCCTGGCCTAAACGCACAAATTTTTCACCAAACCAGCCTCTCATCCACACGAAGCCGGCGTTTCGGGGGTCTGTAAACAATCTTTTTTTTATTCAGCCTTCAGAGTGGGAAGATTTCGAAACGCCGTTTTCGCGTTTCCATCTTTACGCTCTAACCGCATATTTTTTTTTACACGCATGCGTCATAGCGTCGCCTCTAAACACGCATGCGCGACCAGTATCACAACAACAATGGCGCCGTTGCTAATGCTACTCACCCTGCTGTCGGGCTTACAACAGAATCTTCTTCTTCTGGAATATCTCCAGGAAGAACAGAGCAATATCGACGACATAGTTCAGCACCTGAATTTGACTTAACCACGAAAATGGACCCGCAGGGCAACCGTGTATAAATATTAGTTCGCATGCCCAACATTTCGTAGCTTATTTTTGCTTTGGCACCACAGCGCCACTTACAGGCCTGGCATAAATTTTGCAGCGTTTTCATGCATTCGTGTGGACGCTCACATTTATTTTACGTCTCCGTCTTTACGGCGAACGTTTTGGAAAATATCAGCGTTTCGTGTTCGTTTTGACTTCGTGTGGACGGGGCCACAATCACACAGGAAGTAGTGTCAGGAAGCCCTTGACTGACAGCTCGTCATCCATAAATGAAGACAACGGCTGGAAGCGGGTGAAGACGAGTGGTGGAGGCTTCGCCACTGTTTGTGGTACGCATGTCAGGAGACTTGACCAAAGTTCTTTACACTACATTCAGTCATTCACCCATTCAGCTACATGGTAGCCTCAGCTGCCCTGGGGCTCACTGACAGAAGCGGGGCTGCCGTACACTGGCGCCACCGGGCCCTCTGACCACCATCAGTAGACAGTGCAGGTTAAGTGTCTTGCCCAAGGAAACAACGACACTGAAAGTCAGAGCCGGGGCTTGAATCTTCAATCTTTCGATTTCAGGGCAAACTCCTACATCCAACGCCACTGTCGCCCCGTAAGTGTCAGGCTTACTTCCTGTGTCTGCAAGGCCCAATCAGGAGGAGGCTTACAGAAGAGCTTCATCTCCACCCAAACTGTCAAAATATGTTTTTCCTTCGTGCAAGAACAAAATTAGTCTGAGGGCAAAGATGCTTTCAAGAACACAGCCGTCCTCGAGTGTGACCGCTGGATAGAAACCCGAGCACGCGTGGGAAGATCTGGTGCACGGGGAGGGCAATTTTCTTAGTTTCTCGCGCAGGTGTGCTTTTGTTTTGCAATGTTAAATGACCCATGTGCAGAAGTAGTTTAACATACATGAGAGTATGTTTCTTTTGAAATAAATAAAATAAATGTGACATCATAGTTTTTCCTTTCCATTTTTTTCCTGCTCAATAATATATTTGAAAAGGGGAGATATGATAAAAATGTGCATTATTTGTAGTTCTCATTTCGTCAATTTTAAAAGGATTACAGATAGCCTACAACATTTTTTGGGGGTTGATTGTTATCTTTTTTTGTTCCAGCAGAGTTTTTAAAACATTCTCTGCTTTAAACAAAAAATAGCATTATAATTAGGGATGCACAATATAATCGGCCCCCTATCGGTATCGGCCTGTATCGACCTTTAACTGAATATCGGACATCGGCCACCCCACCGATATTTAACCTGATATTTGATCAGCTTCTGAGTTTCTAAAGTCAAAAAATAAAAATAAAAATACTACTTTTTCTTCTTCAAAAACTTCTTTTTTACAGACTTAAAAACTTCTAGAGACGAGGGAAAAAATATTGATACATTAAATTATCACAATGTCTTCATATGCTGATATATTGCCATTTAAAAACACCATATTAATCTCTTATCTTATCTTTCTCTTATCTTTTACTAATGAAATATTGCTATACATCATCGTTATGCTACGAAATCCCCCGAAAATTCACGAAATTTTTTCATATTTTTATATGTTGATATATTGACACAAGTGTCAGAAATGGACAACAAAACTGCTATTTTCAATGACTAATTATTTTTGTCCAGCTTTAACATCAGTATCGATATCGGTTATCGGCTACATGAGTTTTAAAATATCGGCATATTGGATATCGGCCAAAATCCCAATATCGTGCATCCCTAATTATAATAGTTATTAAAAAAAAATTAAGTTGATTTTAAATGATATATGGCCTTTTAATCCAGGGCGTTTTTAACACAGAGAGGTTTTTTTAGTAAAAAAGTTTTAATTCCATTTGCTTATTTTTTGTTTTTTTATTTGAAGATTTTATTCATCAATGAAAACATCAACCTAAAAGATGAAACGTGTCTCTCTGCAGCAGTGAGCTGTGCTTTTAGGGCTGGAATTAGGAAACCATTCAGAGGGCCACAAATGGCCCGCAGGTTTGGATTTAATAAATGTTAGAACAAAGGTAAGAATATTACAATATATTGTCTGAAGATCTCACGAAGCTCTGCACTAAAGACAAATACTTGGAGTTTGCTGCTGCCAAATTAACTTTTAAAAACTCTTTCAAAGACGTCATCTCCCATCTACTTGAACATGAACACAGTGATCTTTATTCTAAGAGAAGCCACATGTGTGAAAACATTTTTTTTCTGCCATTGCCATCATCTGGAGCCCATTATGACTTCAGGTATAAAGGAGTGATAGACGGGTCAGAACAATGATTTCACAGAAGGCATTTTTCCCTTTAGAAACCCAATCATGGATACAGAAAGAGTCATCGAAACAAAATCCTTTTTTGAAAAGATTAGTTCAGTCCAAACATAGATCTGTCTGTCTCATAAAGAAATGTCTACTTTTTCGTTCTTGCCCAAATTGAAATCCTTTCCTCGGTTCAATCAGGACCAGAAAAAACAAAGGGCAACATTTTTACCAGTTGTTCACAAATTGTTTTAACAGCGTTCTTGAGTTAACAAGCAGCCTAAGCTTCTATTTAAAGTGAACTTCTGGCTAGCGCAAGTGTTCTGTTGGCATCCAAAGTCTCATATTTTACTATATATTTTACTTGTGCACAGACTGGCTGCTCTGATTTGCCTCAAGGCTGTCAGACGGCAACCACAGAGAGCAGTAAGAGGGTTAAGAGAAGAAACCACAGCGTAAAAGAGCAGTCTGAACAGGGGTGGGTTTATTGTCTTTGTGTGCCAACCATCTGCAGCCTTGGATCTGAGGAGAATAAAACCTACAAGGACAAACTGCTCGTTACTGTATTGGGCCTGGAGACGTATTTAGAAAAAATATATATATTCTAATCACAGCTTTCAATGTATCAGAGGAAAATAAAATAAAATAAAATACTCTGTGCTGACATCATAGGGGGAAATGTTGGCTTTATTTAAATTCATATTCCTCCCAATCATGGTGAGCCAGGTTAAGTTCTGGGACTCCAGTCAGTCTCAATCACTTGTTTGATTAAAAAAAGCCATAATCATCTTTATTTTAGCGTCTATGCTTTGCTGTTAATGTCAGCAGCATGAGCAAAATTTATATTAAGTAGAAAGATTAAAAACACCTGAGAAAATACTCCCCCTCCCATCGTACACCATAGTCCACTATTAATCATGATCAGGTTTTTGGCTTGAGGACCGAACATGTCAGAGTCCAAGCTTACAAACCAGGGAGAGCAACTTTCTTATTAGTAACGTAGCCTCATTAGATACTTCTGCTTATTATTTGTTTGGGATTACAATGGAAATTTCTCAGCTCACAAAAAAAGTTGTGAACAAATTTTCAATGCAAACTAGAATGATAAAACGGGATCCAGAAATTACTTTCCCTGAACTATTTGATTTACTTTTCAAACTCTAAACTATTATGATCCAAAACTATCAATTTTCTAAAACAAACAGCAATTAAGCAACTTCAGCACATGAAAAAAATTAAAAATAAAGATACTTAAATCGGAGCTGAAGCATTGTCGGCGATCCAAAGAGATTATAAACTCTGCAAAAAGAACCAAATATTCCTCCAGACTAATCATAAAGCTTATTCTTCTGCTTATGTTAACCAGGCATATGTATACCATTTTCAAATAATACTATGGAATATGTCTAAAGTAGTTTGCACAAATATAAATGCGTTTATGAACTTAGTTTATCAGCAGAATCTTTGATGTCCCGTTTCTTACCATCAACTCCTGCTGGCGGCCCTTGTTGTACCCCAGCATAGGGACCCTGTGGCTGAGGCGGCACTCCTGGCTGAGGTGCTGCAGAGGAGGAGGAAGCAATGCTGTCAGGGGTCCCTGAGCGCTCCTCTGTGGCAACAGCAGGGGGAGCAACTAAATGGATGCAATTTATGGAGAAAAATGAATGCTTTGCAGGAAAACATCCCACCCATTAAAGGCTGAGTAGAGAGCAATACCTGGGGCCTGGTCCTCGCTCAGGCCAAAAGCAGAAATGACATTCTTGTTGACCTCATCCTGGTTTTTTAACGGGTCAAAAGCCGACATGCTGGCTGCGCTGACTGGAGGAGCCTGTTTCACTGTTGAATCTGCTGTCATAACTTTGCCTTCACGTCCATCCACTGATTCTAAGAGCAAAGGCACACAAGTTTCTTAAAAAGAGCTATTGCAGAAAGTAGAAGATATATATAGATTTTTTTTTCCTATCAAGATTATTCTCACTGTAATCTTGGAATTAATCTAGATTTAAATCCCTAATTTGAATTTTGCCAAAGGCATTTATTATATATGTAAGCTACCTCAAAAATTTTAAACAAAAGGTTTACTTTTTTATATTTCCAAAATCACATGTAATTTCGTCTTCTTAAGATTTTGACTTGTAGCTATCCACTGAGCGAGGAGATTGGTTAGCTTTGCTGATACAGCTGTGCTTATAGCTGCATCCATGTTAGCATGTCACGTTCAATGTGGTAATTTCACAGTCCGCCTACACAGGTTGGAAAACTGATTTGTTCTCGTCACCAGATATACATCCGGACTAAACTATCAAGGTGAAAATCATCCTTGGCACAGACCCAGCTCCCTACCCAACTGCTAGAATAGATTAACGGCAATACTTTTTTTAATCACCCGATAAGAGTCTGTCATGAACGCGGCACATTAACGCTGACAAAGGCCTATATATATATATATATATATATATATATATATATATATATATATATATATATATATATAGCTTAATGACTGTTTTACACAACAAAGCATTTAATTTCTGTTTTAAACACAGACAGCTACCAGTGGTCAGTATCAGATTTACAAAAATAAACCAAGAATAGACTCTTATAAAATCTTTGACGTGGATCCACAAGAGCCTTATTTTGCTCTTGTGAAGAAATGTGGTTAAGCAAGACCACAATCAATCTGGAGAGAACAATCGACTGCAGGAAATGCAGAAAGCTGCTGCAGACATGGTAAAAAAAAAAAAAAAGAAAAGAAAACAGCCTTTAACCATTTTATAAACTGTCTCAGTATGGCGCCAGTGTCTGTTTGGGACACAAATTTGGTTAAGTGAGTGTAAAACAAGACAAAGCGACTTTTGGGGAGTTTCTAGTCTTACCAGAGGGAAAGAGAACAAAAGAAACCTGCAATGTGTAAAAGTTGGACCTTAGGGTGAAAGGCTCACCATTGTGAGGTGCTGCAGAAGTCATTCCAGGCTCTGAAGGAGGCTCCAGGCTGTCCAGAAGGTTGTTGACTTTATTCCTGAGCTCAATGAGCTCCCTGCGTAGGTACTTCACTTGGCTGGATTCCAAAGGCCGTGGCTGACCATTCACTGCAGGTAAACCAACCAAGAAGGCCCAAATAAAAAAAAAAAATAAATAAAAATCAGATGCGATGGCTTAACCAATCTTTAAATTTTCCATTCGTCAAGTGAGTTGCCATATTCTCCACATTCTTAGCCAGACTTCGTGAGAAGCAAAATAAATCAATTTAAAATGCTAATGTCAGTTAAATTCCCCAGAAATTGAGTCACCAGGCAGTGGATCAGCTTATTCTGAAAAGGCTTCAAGCTGTGAGAAAACTAAAGCTGTACTGCCCTCTAGTGAGCAGTTGATGATATTATCTACAGCAAAAAAATATGCTCTGTTATAGAAAAAAAACGTGGCCTAGATTTTGGTTAAATAAACGTACAAAATAATATCTTTGAGTTTTTGCCTGCGTTGGATATCAAATGAGAAGAAAGAGCTGTAAGAAAATGTGGTGAGAGAAGCAAAGACCTTTGGAGCTTCAACCATAACTCAGCGATTAAGCTTAAAAATCAAACCTCCGATTTTTTCCTACTAAATACAAACAATCAATTTTGTTTTCTCTCTTAAGTTTCCATTATTTTCAAAAACTAGCTCTTATTTCAAATCCCTCCCTCTGAGATGTGACCTTAATTTAAAAGGCAATTCAATTTAAGGGAAACATGTTTGTAAAGCAGTAATATCTCACAACACAAAATAATAATAATTGAACTCATTAATCTCTCACTGGAGAAATTCCCCTCTGCGTTTGACCCATCCCCTTTGGAAGCAGTGGACTGCCATTGTGCGGCCCCTGGGGAGCAGTGTGGGGTTAAGAGTCTTGCTCACTGACCCACAGTGGCAGTCTGTGGGAGTGGGGCTTGAAATCAGAACCTCTGGGAGCCAAGCACAATGACATAACCACTAGGCTGCCACTCCCCAAATGAAAAATGAAAATATAACCAAATGTTTGCAGCTAGTGCTATGGCACAGTAAGCTATTTTATCAGTTATGAGTAGACATCTATACTTAGAACACTAAGCATTGTCAGGGACTCCTCACACCCCCTCCGTGAACATGTATAGGTGCTGCAGCAGGCAGACGCTACCTCAGCGTTGAAATCAGACCAACCACACTGCTGTTAAAAATCTAAGCTTATAGACCTCTCATTAGTGAACCTGTTTAACGTCTTGATATACTAAGTAGTGATGATTCCAGGGAAACGCTGTCTGGTTTTAATGTATTATATAATCTGCTAATTTAAAATACAAACTGATTTTACTAATGTTGCACACAGCAATACAAAACATTCAGTAACCACATGGTTAGGCTGGTTTGCTGAATTAGTCTCTCCTATGACCGTCAGCAGTTTTAAAGTGTTTCTGTGTGTGCAGAAAATTACCCTGAATGCAAAGTCAATGTTTTTTTCAAAAACAATGGCCACTTTTATCCGTGATCTTCCCATTGTCAACTGACTGAAGAATAAATGGAATGGACATGTTTCTATTTTTTAGGGTGTAACCTTGGTTATGTTGGCCTTCCTGAGTTCAAAAACATAATCTATGCATTCAGAGTAGAAACCCCTCCCCGAAGAAATTGAATCTGCAGAACAAGTTTATCTTAACGGCTCAAAGTTAAGGTTTCGCTGTGAGAACACAAATGCTCGGCCACCCTCTGGTGACTGGCTGATGAAATGTCCCGTGGCTAGAAAACCTGCTCAGTTTCTGGAAAAAAAATTTTTAGAAACGCAGCAGGAAAAACAACTCACCAAATAATGTCAGTTTGAGTATTCTACTGCACTGGATTGCAAATGAGAGGTCAGAGCTGTCAAAAATGGTGATGAGGTCATCATCTGTAAACAGAAAGAAGTGAAATTAAAATTATATTACTTACAGAGAAAACGAGCTGAAATTATAATTTATTATCCTCCTTTTTTCCATGATGATAACGAGAACTTACGAGCTAAACATGGATCTTAGATGATGCAAACATGACGAGTCAAAGGTGTTAGTTTTGGTTAATGGGTGAAAACGAATAAAAATGTTAGCAGGTGATCTATCAGACATTTAGAACTCATCATTGTGCTGTAATCTGTTAGATAAGCTAAGCAGAATCAGTCGTGCTGCTGCGTCTGGTTTGGTCGCACCCAGCGTGCAGCGATGCACTTTCTGCATGACCACAGATGAATCATAGCAGCAGCGACAGGGGTGAAAATAATCCGGAATGATCCGGTACTGCAAGCTCAACTCTGCTCTTCCAGCTGTGCTAGTGCGGAAATGCGTCTTTACGCGCACTTAGCTTTGAGTCTGCGCTTTACGCTCCACACCGATGGTTTGCTCAGATGCACAGCATTTATATTGTAAAAACACTCTACAGTACAGTATTTTATTTGTTTTTTTAATACTGTCCCTTATTTTGTTTTTTTTATACACTTTTTAAGGCCCACATTTGTCTGACCACTTTTTGCTGCTGTACCACCACCATTTTTTCATTGTGGGACAATAAAGGGATTTTCTATTCCATTTAAACATTTTAGTTCACATATTTTCCAAATTTCGGTCCGGATTTCAATGCCAGTACAAGGCTATTATGTAGTTTCTCTGTGCATATTTTTTTATATCATACCCCTATGAATTTAAATATACTTTGACCCCTGAGCAGTGGTAACCAAGGGGCAAATTCTTAGAAATAAAGACAAAATTGCCAAATTGTAAAAAGAAGAATGTTTTTGTTCTTCGCTTTTTTGGAGTACTGAAGATTGATCTGTGTGTCATGCATAATTCATAGTAAATCAGGAAGTATTTGCTTTTGGATGAAAACCTTGTATATCCTTTATTGTACATTTTGTCAGCTTGTCTGTCTGCTATATTAACCAACATAAAGGGCTTGAACTACGTCTGCTATTTTCACAACTTCTGTGAGACAATTTGTATAATGTAGGGCTTTAATTCTTAAAAAGTTTATTTGAATTCTATAAATCATGGTTTTCTGCCAACAGCAACGATGTTGGCATGGCAGCATTCTATACCTACCAATCGTAGTATCTAGGCAAGAGCTGTCAGTCTGGTAAAGAATTCGGTTGTTACTCAAAATTTTAAAGTTTAGCTGTTTTTTGAAGTGCAACATAAAACTGGATAAAACTAGACTTTGAGTTTTACTCGAATAAAACTGGATTAAAACTATCACATTAATGACTAAAATGTGACTAAAACTTAAAATAGTTTTCGTCCTGAGGATAAAAACAAAGGCAAAATCTAAGATGGTGTCAAAAACAACACTGTCACACTGCTATGGTAAAGATACAAACTTTGGGTGAAATTGGCCTCCATGTGTGGAATGAAAATGATTCACCTTCATCTTTGTATTTGATGGTAACCTCATCGTTACTCTGCAACTTTCCCCTGAAGACGCGCTGCATCATCAGCACGAGCTCATCATATGTGATGTCTTCATTGTGTATGGGGATGCGTCTAATGTCATCACCCAGCTGGGCTTTGATGATCAGCTTGCCACTCAGGTCCAGCTGGCCGTTCATGGTGCCGTCTGATCTCTACTGCTCCCACTGCCTTAAAATCAAAGAAAAGGGGTCATTTCAAATGTAACACCAACAAATCAGCCAACAAAACCTTGTTTCTAACCATCTAACTATAGTTTCTAGCTATTAAAGATAATTGTAAAATTTAGCCATAACTATTATTTCTATATTCAGCCGTTCATTTGCCTGTAAAAAAAAAATGTGTTTGCAGACTATACCCTGATTTCAAACCTGTTTGGTGAACGCTTCTTTCTCTATGTGCAACGACGTTCCAAAAATTGCTGTGTGATTATATAATAGGCCAAAAATGTGGAGCCGAAATAACTGCAAAGTAGGTTAGCATGTCAGGCAGGTGAGTGCAGTAAGAAGCATGTAGGACTGAAATATGTTTCAGTGGAATGGTAACCTGTGTTTAGCTTTTGTCATTTTGGCTGATTAAATTTGTTTTTATATATATATATATATATATATATATATATATATATATATATATATATATGCTTGGCATATTGTAGTAAAACTGTCAAAGAAATTCAGTAAACTGAAGAGTCTAAGGGTCAAACATCAGCCTGTGAAGTGGCAGAGATAGTGACCAGCTGTAACAAATCATGTTGACTTTGACCAAAACGCTCATTGTCATCGATAACAACAGTCATAATGATTTGATAAAATCATTAGGGTTACTTTTATTGTTTCTAACTAAACCTCTATTATACATATTCTTATTTTAATAAACTAAACAAATTCCTCTTAAAAACAATTCATTAAAAAAAACTGATCTTCTCAGACTTTGCCTTTAATTTCCTTCGATTTTAATAACGCATTTAAATACATATTAATGTCAGATCTAAACAGTGCTGCTAAGAAAGTTATGGTGAACAGTAGGGATGGGAATCGAAAACCGGTTCCTGTTCAGAACCGGTTCCGTATTTTCCGATTCCATGGCATCGTTTGGCAGCTCGCTGAACGATTCTTTTTTCGATTCCCGCAGCACCAGAGCCTAGAGCGCCGGCTCTGGGGAGCACGACTTACGTCACTTTTTTTTACGTACGTTACGTAAGTTACGCAAGTTATGCAAGTTACGCAATTTGGAAATAACTATTCGAGGAGGAAGACAGCGAGCTGCGGTCACTTTTTGAATCAAAGCCCCGTCTTTCCTTAGCCCAGAGGGTAGATCAGGAAATCCAGCTCTATAAAAGCTTGCCCTCCATCCCCTGCAGGGATAGCGCCACTGTGGTGGTGGAACAAGCAAGATACGCTGCCCTTGCTATCTGGACTGGCTGAAAACTACCTCTGTGTGCAGGCTTCCTGCACCCCATCTGAGAGGGTGTTCTCCACGGCTGGAGACACCATAAGCCCTGAAAGATCCTGTATCCTTCCAGAAAAAGCAGATATGCTCATCTTTCTGCAAAAGAACTGTTAATTTTCCCTACTACTGTTTTATAATTAGTATTTTTTGTTATTTAAAATAGGTTATTATCCCATCATTTGTTATTAGACATTGTTGGTTATTAAGTTTGTTCTTGTATTCATTTTTAATTTAAACACAGATGTTACTCCAGTTTCACATTTCCTGTGGACATCTTGATCTTGTTGAGTTTGTAAGATTGTGCAATAGTTAAGTAAACAAAGTTGATTCTGATAATCAAACTGTTTGTTCTCCTTTTTCCCCCAAATTGGAATCGAAAAAAGAATCGATAAAGAATCTAATCGTTTCATAGAATCGAAAAGGGAATCGGAATCGTGAAAATCTTTTCAATTCCCAACCCTAGTGAACAGTATAAAACGAAAATGACAGAAAATATATTTTAATAGTATATTTTTAATCACTGCTGACAACTGAACAAGAGCATCTATGACATTTACTGATTAATAGACCTAAAAATATTAGTGAATAAAGCACTTTGTAACTGTACAACTGCATTACTGTAGTGAATCTGTATTTGTATTTTTAGAGCAGCATTTGACCCCATAAAATTAAAAAGAACAGCCTGTCCCCAACATAAAAAAAAACATATTTTTTAACACTTTTCAGCAGGATTCTGATCTCCATCAAATAAGAAAAACTACCCAATATTAAGATAAATATGAAATCTATCTAGCCAATCCCTCGTTAACATCAAGTGTGATCTAATATGTCAGTTTTTATCTTTCTGTATATTCTGCATCTGAGGATTTAAGCCGAACAAAACCCTCCTGTGGATTTATTTGCAGAAAATCCCACAGCTCTGGCTGTCCTGGAACAGATGAATAATTGGCTGGATGCTAAGGATTGTTATGTAGCTAACGCTTAGCACACAGGCAGAACAAATAGCGACAGCAAGAAACTGGTTGATTCCCTCATTTTGCAGACCAAAAATTTATGGAAACTTAACGAATAAGATGTCGGCAAAAGGCATCCTTGCTTTGCTTCGTCAAAAAAACACCAAAATTAGCATAAAACAACGCATTAAACGGTGAAGTTTGACAATCCAGGCCTCTTCAGTACTTGATTGGAAGCTGTTTACAATAGAAATTATTTAACCTGAACAAACTAAGTTAAGTTATACGTTAGAAATTCTATATATCACTATAAACCAGTATATGATCATTTTAATGTATTTTTCGTTTATAACAAACGTCAGGGAAGAGCTACTTTGTATCCGTCTATACGTTTAACAGGATTACACATAGATAAAACAGTCAGTTTTTATAATTTGCAATAAATAAGAGTGATATCGGTCTAAATTTGATTCAACATTATACATGTGAGCAATTTAAAGTGAAATTTTGATGAATCAGTCTCGCGCGGATAGCTACGGCTACATAGCTAGCTAACCAAACCCTATCCAGCTAGCACTAACAACACAGTCTAAGCTCATTGACTGACTGATAACACAGAAAATGCTTTATAATTACAGCCAAACATTCCACCAAATATGACACGTTACCTGAATCAGACGACTTTACCACGCTTTGTTTCACAGGGTTTCCCAAAATCGTGAAACTCTACTTCGTTAGCTGGCCTAGCTAAGCAAGGAACCAGCACTAGGAAGTGTCACTCGGACTGTCAACGTCAGCCAGTACGTGGCACTCCCTCTGCGCATGCGCACTGCGTCCAGAACGGAGAGCATTGAACCATAGACTACTCCTCTCTTCATTGCAGGGATGGACGGGCTCAAATTACATTTCATTGAAAGAGATGATTTCATTGTCAATTACTTCAACAACATAAAATCCTTTGCAATTGTGCATAATCCTCTCCGCTGCACAAAGTATTAGGATTTCCCATTAAACAAGAACTGCTCCTTGGGATCCCCCCTCCTTTATTGTTATTAAATACACACACAGCCAGTTTAAACAAACCAGTATATAGGTTTGCATTCTAAAAGACCAATTAAAGCATTCCCAGGACAAAATTTAAAATCTTTTTAAGATCAGACAAAAAAAAAAACAAAGATATAATTAAATAGCAGTTATTACTCCTTAAGGTTAAACTGTCCCTTAACCCTTTATAGGGCAAATTAGCCTTTCTAATCCCTTGCATGCACCTTACAAATGTAGTCTCCCCCCACCCCCGTCCCTCAGTGAAGTCTAGAAGCACATGATCTATATCCACCCATTCAGCAAAGATACTGCTACATGGCTGTACATTTTGGTATTTGAGCTTTTAGATGAGCCTGTGAATGATATATTACGTACTGTAAATTAAGTTGAAAAAATAGTTATCAAGTTAAGAAAAAAAGGTAAAAATGTAAATGCTCATTGGAGCAGTGGGTACCACTGGTGCCTTGCACGTTGATTTTCAATGTATTTCACTGAGTGCCTTATAAAGGGTTAAAAAGAAACTATCATATGTTAAGAAATGGAATTGGGTATCTAATTAAATTCAGATTTGATATAAATGTAAATGGAAAATCCATTCACACACAATAAAAGTCAAAAATAAATCTACAATGTCAGTTAAGTAGAATAAAATGTCCCGCAAAATGGTCAAACACATTTTCAGTCTGGAGTTAGCTGCACTGTTGTGGTAATAACAAACTATTACCTGCAAAAACTGTATTTATTGTTTTCAAATCTCTTCTAAGCTTACTTTAATTTCTCCCAGTATCCAAAGAAGTGTCCCAGAACTCCATATTCTTCTGTTCTTCACTCTTTGTATAAAGTCACTATGATAATTTATCAAATGCTGAATATTTATGCTTTTCAATTGTACTCATGCTAGTCACTCAAGCAAAGAGACATGTTTCCTGCATAGGAAATTTTGCTTCCTTTTATTTTAGAACGAGCATTTTGTTTTTGAATAAAGTCAACTATGTTACCAAAACCAAATGTGTTACCATACACAACGAACTAGTACCATGGGGATGCTTAGAAGACAGAAGCTCAGAGGATTATATTTGTTTCTTTAATGACTGATTTTAACTGAAAACAACTGTATGATTATACATAATTTACATAACATGACATAATCAAATTGGACAAACTGTATACATTTACAGATTATGTGTCTTTATTGTAGTGTAAGTATGACCTTACAACTAATCATTGTAACCTGAGTAGTCTCTATCTTTAAAAAAAAAGTCAAAGCCAGCTTAATATTGAAGCAGGTGCAATGTTTTCATTAGTAATTGCTGAGATTAGATTCAAGCAAAGCAGCTGCTTTAAATAATGACTGCTTTTCTACTATCTTAAATATATTATGCTGTGGGACATTTTTGACCAAATGAATAGACCTATAATCTATAAAAAAAAAAAACATAAATTTTACAGTAGCAAATATTTCTCTTACAATCACTTTTTCTTCTTTTCCTGTGTGGCATCAAACCATGAATCTAACAGTTTTTTCATGTAATAAATCTGCCATGCATGCACTTGAATGGCAACAACCATTATGACGTACATAACAGTCACAGCGGAGAAGCCAAAAATGAAGCGGTAAGCTTTTCCATGGCGATAGAGCTGCTGGGCTAACGGAAACATCTCCATGCCTCCATAAATGAGAGGTGCCACAGAGAAGAGCCCTGCACTGATCAAAGACATGACCAGGTAGCTGATGTTGTTCTTTGGGATTGACAGACTGCTGCAGAACAGTGGAATGATGCTGAGGAGGTAGGGGTACTCCCACTGATAAGGTATGGACACTGTGTCATGTGACACCAGGCTGAGATGGCTCACAGTCACTTGTGCAGCCACCAGCAACCAGATCAGAAGGTGGACCCAGTTCAGCTTGCGCACCTCTGACTTCAGCGAAGCACTGAAACATAAAAAGTCAACATTAAGACTTTTATTTCTATATAAAAAGGGAAATATTAGACAAAGAAGCAGTTCACTTGCCTCATCTGGTATTTTGGGGCCACCTTCTCTCTGTGTTTGAAGTCAGTTCCATTTGTACTGACTGTTCTAAGGCCAACACGGGACGTCATTTCGTACAATCCTGTATCCATGGAAAGACTGATTAGATTAGATAAGTAGACAGACAGACAGACAGACAGACAGACAGACAGACAGACAGACAGATGTCATGAGCCTCTTGTCTGTTAATGCTTTTCTTTTCCAGTCTTGTCATTTTAGGAGGATAGCAATTTTTAACAGTAGTTTTGTGTCTTTACTAAACTCTTCTCAAACTGCTTTGTGCTTGTGATGTTCAAAGCAGAAGCTATCAGTGGCGGCTGGCCAATAGAGGGCGCTAGGGCGCAACCCAACCCACCCAATAACCTTGATTAAGTCATAAAAAAACAAATTGAAATTAAATTAGAAAATTAAAATATTTCAAAATATATTTATATATACTTTTTAGATGTGCAAATAAAGCATCATTTCATTTTTCTTCGGATCGGTAAAGTATTGCCGCCATAGGCACTAAAATGTTTGCCCATTGACTCTTGTTAAAAGTTGTACATGTGCAACGCTTTATTCTGCTTTCCCTGATTTAAAGAACTTTTCAGAAAATGCAAAGAAGAATGAACAATGTGAGATTTCCATGGAATAATGTAGTGCACTTTTCCTAGATGTTTGTTAATTTGCATAGTTGCTCTTAAATAAACACATTCTCAGAAAATAAATAGTTTTTATATATTAAAAAAAATATATAGCTGACTAATAGTTTCTCTGTTTTTAAACTGGTACATTTTTTTTAGGTTTGTGACGCCATATTGGATCATGAAGAACACAGATTTGCCTTCACAAAGCCTCAGAAGGGAAAGATTTATGTTCAAAAGGTAAACCTGTACATGAAATTATTTTTTGTTTTTATTAGGTGTTTTTAAAATGTTTTTTGTTGTTGACATTCATATAAATATACTGATGTGATAAATTAGTATAAGTTTGATTGGTTTTTGGTGTTAATCTATTTTGCTTTTGTAGCCCCCTTGGAGAAAACTCCACCAGCCACCACTGGAAGCTACACCCACCTGCTGTGGTCACTATTCTGGATTTAATATTAAGATTATATTAAAGTCAGTTGGTGGTTCTGTATTTTGTTTAGATGAATTTTGGTTATTTAATAAAGATATAAATAGATGCCAAACCTTTCAGACTTCATAAAAAAATCAAAGCAAAATTCAAATTTGATTTATACAAATCTGACCCAAAATATCCAAATAAATGATACTGAATATGTTGGTTATATAAATATATAATACTAGTGAATATGTGTATATATTTATTGGTTTCACTTTTATACCCAAAAAACGATTCCAACAGCTTTAGAAAGCGTCTGTTATTACACGGTGGGTCTAAGGTTAGGTTTAATCTATAACTCGGTACAATAGCAGATATGCATGTAAATATATTAACTGCTGCTTAGTAATAAACATTAAAGGGCCGATAATAATATGGGTGTTATGAAGCAGGTTAGCGCATTAGCTGCTCTGGCTATTTCCTGTATTTGTCTGGACCAGCATTAAATACTGGACTAGCTGGGAGTTAGCCCCCTGAACGGTGCTTAAAGGTTGAGTTTTAAACGCGTTTGTTTTATCGGAGCGTTTTTACTTACCTCTCTGGACGGGCTTGGTGGATAATTTGATGAAACAAAACGTCTGATGAAAAAGGGAGACACGCTGCAATGCGCACGCGCACATCCGGATCACAGCATCAGCATCTCCTCTGAACCCAGCCGGTTCAGTCTTTGATCTCTGATCGAAGGACACCAGCAGCGACATTGCATTAAGTTTTTTTTATGTTTATTTTGTTTTCCCATGGTTTAAATAAATCCAGTTATGCTATTTCCAATAAAATAAAATATGCAACATATATAACACGGTGTAGGAACCAATATTGTTTTGTTAATAATTTAAAAAGTTTTTTGTTTTTGTGCATAATCTAGCACAATCTGTTATGAGATTATGTTTTTTTGGTTATTTAGTCATGTTCCTTTGTTTTCTGTTAGTTATGATTAATTGGGCTGAATTATTTTTTCGAATAGGCTGTCAATGGTAGGACCAGCATGAATCTGGGTGGGCTTATGGTTTTTTTACCCAGCACAAGAGAAACATGGAGAAAATGTTTGTCTTTTTCTGCTTGTTTGTCTGACGAGAAATAAAACTGAGAAAACTAAAGGAGTTTACCTGGAACATTTTTTCATTTGCCTGGGTAAAATTAGTCCATGGTTCATCTGTGGCCTTTGTTGATTTCCACTTCATTTGTGTCATCAAAAGCTGGGCCACAACATACGGCTTCTAATATAAACATAGTTTAAGTTTACTTTTGATGTTCAATTGTGTTTCACAGAATGCTGCTCCCCTTCACATTATATTTCTGGAAACATGCAAACCTTTTTGGTATGATGTCCTTTGCTGTTTTTTTTTTCAATCACCATAACAATCATTTCTTTTTCACAAAAATGTATTTTATTTGAGAGAATATGAATGGTTGCTCCAATGATCATTCTTTTAAAAAGGCTCAGAATCATATTAAATTGGTTAGTCAGTCATAAACATGTTCATAGATTTCAACAACATTAAGTTCCTGTTATGGAAAAGCATATAGAATTGTTTTAATGCTATCTCCTGAGGTGTTTTTATAAAAAGGTCTGTTCTATTATTATTTGCTATTTTTCCTTTTGTTGATCCTATTGACAAATTGAAATTTTTCTCAAAGGGGGCTGTATGTGAAAAAATGCATGACAATGATGCTTCTTTTGTGCATGCCCTAAAAAAACCCTAAAACACCCTTAAAAAGTCTACTCAGCAAAAACAAAAAAACATATATTACTAAGAATAATAAGATATTAAAATGATCATCAGTATTTTATTTCAAAGAAATACTGTGATGATAAAGCTGCTAAATTAAGATATAAAAACGTTCTACAGTAATTTTGAGAACATTCTCAATAATTTTTTTTCTGAGATTACCCCATTTAAACCTCTCTTAATTATCAAACATTAATTATGGTGGTGTAAGGCACTGTAACTTTGATAGTAACTTTGCCTCTTATGCCTCCGTCAATTAGAAGGCATTCTATTATAGAAAAGATACTGAAAATAATAAATATTTTCCAAGTAGTTTTATAGGATCTCTGTGGACTTTAGTCATTGAGGTCTAACCCCCATTTTAATCAGAAAGATTTGGAGGTAGAGATTAGTAAAGGTGCTGAATAAACACTATGATATAGTGCATATTCTGATACCTAATGATACTTCAGTCTCAACTTTAGTGTTTATTTCTCACAGAGTGCATCACATGGAGAGTCTTTTCACACTGACTGGGATAGGCAACACACAAAATCACACTTTGGGTGCTATGACTAAAAAAGTTTATATTGAGCATAGTGTACCTAGTTTGTGGCACCCTGGAAGGACAGTACATTACCCAACAGCAACCGCTAGAACTGTGAATACACATCTAAATACACATCTAAATAATAGTTTGCTGTTTTTGTCCGGGATAATATTTATATTGTCTTCATTCTTTGCACTTCAGTTGTGATTTTGGGTTCAGCATAGAAAAAAAATTGAACGAAAAGTACTTTTAGTGCCATCTTTTATTTCTGTACACCAACAGAAAAATCTACTACTTTTGATATTACCCATGGTTCACTGAACAATATCTATAAGCAACTACATTGATACTTTATGTAACACTTGTAGCTTTAAAAAAAAGAACATCTCAGATAAATTTTTTACTTAACAATCTTTATTTTTTTTAAAAACTCATAGCAAACTTTAAACATTAACACAATAACATTTTGATGACAGAGACAATATCGTCACCATGGTTACTCGTCTTTAAGCTCTTCTTCTTTTACTTTAACATCATAATTCATTCAGTACATGGGAAATGGATCATAAACGATATCCTTCTTATATGAAATCATGTCCTGCAAAACACTTTTGAACAGTGAATTTTTCAATTAAAACCCTTAAATAAAAGCAATACAAATGACCATTCATTTTATTGAATTTAGACAAAATAAATTAGTTCAACTAAAGTGTCTCAGAAGAAAAGGGTCTTCTGATTGACAGTTAAAAAGCACTTTCTATTGAAGTAATCCCTGACAACAACACAATAAGTACCTTACCTCAGTAGCAAATGCTAGCAAACAAGGACAGCATAAATGTATGGTGCTTGTGACCATATTTTCCTTTTTTATGTTTTGAATTAATCTAATGTAGTATGTAGAGTGGCTTAATAGTTCAGAGCATCAATAAGTATACTAATTTGTTTTTCACAGCAGCAGATTCAGAAATGAACAATTAACACTTCAAAATAAGGATAACATTATATTGTTTTTCATGTATCATGTGTTTTTGTAGTCAATATTTCTTAAAAGCTTGTCATGTTGGTCTTCAGCTTTTCACAGGAGTACAAAAACGGACACATTTATTTAAAACATAGGAAGTTCTATCACGCATCTTTTCAAAATTTATTAAGTAGGCCCATATGATTTTCTTATTAAAATTTACCATGCTCAAGTTTTGGTTTTTTTCCCAAACTAAGACATTTGCAAACTAAACAAAAAGCGTTCAAAACTCAATTCTTACAAAATAGTGATATGATCTGTACTGCCATTGTCATGAGGCCATTTTATATTTTCTATAGCATTGATACCTTAAAAGACCCGATGTATATGTGTAGAAATAGATACCGTTTTCCTGTCAAGATGTTAGTGGCCAATTGGAAAACTGTGTGAGGCTGAATTTGACATTACTGTAGCACAATGTAGTGACCAGAGAGCCTTATTATCTGTTGATATGAGACTCCAAAAGCTTTCTGTATTTCAGTCAGCATATAACAAGTCACAGCAATTGCATTGTTTTGAGACAGTTGATATTTTCTTAGAAGTAAATAAAGCTGTAATTATTTGGTTCTTTTAACTCTCTCAAAATTGAAAACAAGTCTTAGGTCACCTATTTGGAATGACTTTAAGACAATACAGTACAAAATACTGTAGTTTAACCTCTGTTAATGATAGCATCATTTTTGACTCAACATTAAAAAAATGCCCAGTTAAGTTAAGTTAATTTAATATACGGTCAACTATTTCACAAAAATAAGCATCTGCTCCCTCTTCCAGAAGTATGGGGTATTACATTGGATAGAGCAAATACCCAGAGAAGGAGGACTGCACATACTCTCCAGCATAAAGTCCAGAGGCCTGATCTGATGGCATCTGAATGTACACAGTGTCCCCAGGTTGAAGAGGTAGTACTGCACTTCCCGATGCTTGATCTAAGAAACCCTTTTTATATTCATCATAGGTATACATCACAGGCTCACTGTTTCTCATCAAAGCCACCCACACATTTTCTCCCTTACAGTGAATGTGGTAGGCAAAGTAATAAATGCCAGGAATGTCACAGGTGAAAATTCCTGTCTGGGGATTGTAGTTTTGGCGGCCATTGTACAAAAGTTTATCAAAAACAACTGGGCTGCCCACAGGTGGAAAGGGTGTAGATGCTACAGCAGTAAATGCTGGCATTTCAAGGCCACTGGAACCCATTACTTCAGCCCAGCCTCCACCATATTTGCCCTTCTTATCATAACTTCCAGCTTTAACACCATCTAGTCCCGGACCCATCTCAGAAAGTACTCCAGCCATTTCTGGTGAAAAAACGGGTTCACCGGGTGGTCCTGGTGGTCCAGGTGGACCAGGTTGACCTGGTTGTCCAGGGGGTCCAGACGGTCCCTCTCTTCCTGGGGCTCCTACAGGACCAGGCAGGCCAGGACTCCCAATGTCTGCAATGCCTGGTGGACCAGGAGGACCACTTTCTCCTTTGGGTCCTGTGGGACCAGTAGGCCCAATGGGTCCAACTGCACCATTTATTCCAGGGATTCCTTGAGGTCCCTGAATACCTCTTTCCCCAGGTAATCCGGCATGTCCTCTCAAACCAGGAGTTCCAGGGGGACCAGGCATACCAGCTAGACCTTTCTGGCCATCCGCACCTTTTGGACCACTTGATCCAGGTGGACCTCTTGGGCCTGGTTCTCCAAGTTCCCCAGGTAGACCATCCTTACCAGGTGGTCCTTGAGGACCAAGGTCACCCTTAGCCCCATCACGCCCTCTTGGTCCTTCATCTCCACTATCTCCTTTAGGACCAGGTGCACCTATACTTCCAGGTTCTCCAATTGGTCCTGCAGGACCTGGAGGACCATTCGGTCCAGGGAGTCCAAGCATTCCAGGTATTCCACCAATACCCTTTTCTCCTTTGGGTCCTGGGGGTCCTGCGGGTGCACCAATTCCTTTATCACCTTTTGGTCCTGGAAGTCCTTGCTTGCCAAATCCTGGAAGACCTGGCTTTCCTGGCAGACCTGGTGGTCCTGGAAGGCCCTTCTCACCTGTCCTTCCTGGCTGTCCAGGCAGACCATTTTGACCTGGCTTTCCTTGACCAGGTGGACCTGGTGGGCCAGGCTTCCCTCCTTCCCCAGCTGGTCCGGGAGGGCCTGCTTCTCCAGGATATCCTTTATGTCCTGGGGGTCCTTGTGGACCAGGTAAACCATTTAACCCTGGTTTTCCAAGACCTGGCAGCCCTCTTGGGCCAGCAGGTCCAGGAGGCCCAGGAAGTCCTTTGTGACCAGGCTGTCCAGGCAGACCCATCCCTTTGTCTCCTTTTGGTCCTGGTAATCCCGGCAGACCTGGCAGGCCTTTGTGACCCGGTTCCCCTTTGACACCTGGTTGTCCCGGTAATCCCTGTAACCCTGGTTTACCTATTCCAGGAAACCCAGGTGGTCCTTGGGGTCCCTGTGGACCTGGTGGACCATCAGGACCCTCTTCCCCTCTTGGTCCTATTTTCCCTTGAGGCCCACGCTCACCGTTTACACCTGGTTTTCCTGGCAGTCCGGGCAAGCCTAGTTTTCCCATTCCAGGTAATCCTGGTGGACCTGGAGGTCCAGGTTGGCCCTCTGGGCCAGGTAATCCATTCCCTGGAGGTCCAGGAGGTCCTGGAGGTCCCACAGGTCCAGGTGGTCCAGCTGGGCCTTGTTCTCCCTGAGGAACTCCTTCCACAGCACTAGGTATTGTTAAACCTGTGAGCAGTTGTACAGATGTTAAATATAGAAATTAAATACTAAAAAATATACAGCAAAAATATTTACACTAGAAATGATTACATGAAAGAGCACCATGTTAGTATAGTATAATTCAATATGATTAATTCATTATGATTGAATAGTTAAGCCTTTTAATGTGACCAAAACACCTATGGCCAATCTGAGAATAAACAATCAGGATGTCCAGAGTTGTTCTGGGTCTTGTGCCAAATAATCTTTATACTTTGGACTATGCTAAGTGTTCTCTCTAGATTGTGGTTGCTATCCCTAGATTAAAAGTATGTACACACATCACAAGAACAGAGAAATCTGTTCCAGAGGTGACAAGAAGAAGAAAAGGGTTCTTTCAAGCAAGGATATTTCATATTTAAAGCAAGAAATGAAATGCAAAACTATTCAAAACCTTTAAGGGTTCCTCATATAGCAGCTTTAGTCTATGTAGAACCACAGCTACAGCACATTTCTGGTTGATCACACATCTTTTCTTGGACCCCATACAACCAAAGGTTCTGTCCCAAACACATGTTAACAACACACTCCAAGAACAGCCAAGAAGAGAGAACTAATTTCTCTGTTCTTATGAAGCATGACAACACCTTTATGAAGACACAGCAACTATGTGACTGACTGTGAATCTACTTGAGTTATCAATGAAGAGGAACTCTCATGCGGTGATCTTTTTACAAAGAGATGAGGGGTTGGTTTACACAATATTAAGGGACTTAGTCACTATTAAGTTAACATCTGTTAAAAAATTTGTAGCCTAATAATTCTACATCAACTCTCAGTGGCCATATCAGTAAGCTGACTAGGGTAAGCATAGAAGGGTTTCAACCTCACCTCTAAAACAAAAATATATTATACTCTGTACAAATATGCAATGTAAGTTAATACTTTTTATATGTTTTAATTTTTAAAAATTTCTCCATGTAGGCTATATGCACATAACTGATTTTGTAGTGTGTTCAGAAAGATTTCTAACCTTTTTCTTTACCACCATTGTAGTTCCCCCCTTTACGGGGATTTTCTTTGCCCTTAAGCAATGGCATCTGGGGCAGCTCCTTCCTATAGTGTGGATATTGCATGTAGGGCACTTCCTTGCCAATGTACTGTTGTTGAGGAAAACCTCTATTTCCCATGTTTATGTGTTGAAGGTGCTGCATTGGCTGGTATGGCTGAGGGTGTTGCTTGTGTCCGTAGTAAGCCCCATCAGTCACACATGGGAAGACAAAAAGCTGAAGTAGAACAGTAAGGAGGGGGCCAAGAAGGCGAGGCATGGCTAAAGCCTGTGAAGAAAGAAATAACATAATTAGATACGAAAGAGCTGCTTGATCACACATTTATGTAAAAAGATTGTCCATCATTTGCAGTCCTTACATAGAACAGCACTCTGTCTCCCTCTCCTGGACATTTATAACAACTACACATGTTACTTGCTATGGTAGTCAGAAATTTTATATTAGAGTTTGCAAAAATGTTATAAATAGGCAATACGCAATACAAAGGAAGAAAAAAACTTTGAAGGTTTACTTGATATAAATCCTGGTTAGTTGTTGCTGGAGGTTGTAGCCAACTGAAATTTAAAGAGAGGCCAGAAGCAAAGCAGTCTCTCCGTCTGTATTCATTTTAATTAACTGCAACCTCAAAAACGTGTAAGAAACATGTAAGCATGTATATGTTTGCTGAGTAGTTTACACAAGGGGGATAGTAAAGTTCACAAGAAACAATCGGAGCTCCATATTCCTCAAAAAGTTAACACTGCACACGAAGAAAGAAAGAAAGAAAGAAAGAAAGAAAGAAAGAAAGAAAGAAAGAAAGAAAGAAAGAAAGAAAGAAAGAAAGAAAGAAAGAAAGAAAGAAAGAAAGAAAGAAAGAAAGAAAGAAAGAAAGAAAGAAAGAAAGAAAGAAAGAAAGAAAGAAAGAAAGAAAGAAAGACCTTTCTGATGTGTATCTGAGGTATGTTACCTTACTGACTGTCTAAAGCTGATTTTTACATCATTCTTACAGGAGCAACATATAATCCATATAATCTTAGCAGCTGACTGCTTCATCCATTTTAAGACAGGAGTGTAGACAGGTGAACAGTAGGTTACAATTTGCAAAAAAGTCTACTCACACTACTTTGCATTAAAGCAAACAGGTCAAATTCAAATCCTGCTTCACAGAATGGAGCTCAGTCTTTTCCAACCAGTTAAATCCAACAACCAACTGTCCTAGTGAGGGAACCCACCACTTCCAGCCACGAGGTATATGTCCCAATTTGTTGAAAGGTATATTGTTGACTAAAAGTATTATTGCTCTGCTCTCCCTGGTATGTCTGGCTTCTAAAAGCACAAAGAGTAGGATCATTCCTTCAAAGGCTATGTCAGACAGTCACACAGCTATGTCAAAATCACCAGAAGCTTGAGAACAGCTCAGTGTAGGAGAATATCTCATTATCAGCTAATGTAGACAGTAGAAAGTTGGTTTTAACCAGAAGAATCTACATTACTTGAAAATACTACTTCATACTTGAATTACTTGAAAAACCAACAAAAAATGTACTCTGGAATCTTTTTGAATTAACCTAGCCTTCTAAATGTTGGCTAAATAGACTGTAGGGTCTCTTTGTGTGTCTATGTGCTTGTAAATGATTTTAAAGTATTGAAAACAATCTGATAGATTTTTGCAGCACTTTAATCACTGGGTTCAGAAAACAGCTTCTGTTTCTATTCACATACAGCAGGTACAAAAAGCTTTAAGCACATTGATGTTTTTCTTAGCAAATATATTTATAATATTTCTACTGGAGATGCAGATAACAGCAAAATTAAACAACACATTGCAAGAAATGATTGCAAATTACTAAAAGTGTATATAAAATTCGAATGAAACAGGGAATAGGGAGTGAACATGGTGACATGTATTGTTCTGATGGAATTTTAATCAACTTTTCCACACAAACCTCCTTTGACGTCTGATTTTAAAGTTTCGAACCTCATCCACAGTACTCGCTACTGTATTTCTAAACCTTTCTAAAGCTCTCTGATTGTTCATTCGCTCCTCTTTCAACTTACTTTTTAATGGACTGATACTAATTTACTCAGAGCAGCAGGAATGACCGACGTTTATTTTATCAGCTTTACTACTCTAGTAGCAAAGTAATGGGGGAAAAATTTCATTCATTGCTGGCTTTTTCTCAAACTCATTGTTCTTTGTGACTTCCCTTTTGGCTCATATCAATTTTTAGACCCCAACATAGATACTAATATGATTCATTGTTAAAGACAGCAGGCTGGTTGAAAGTTTAGTAGAGAGACTTGAACACAGTCAGCTATTTGTTTTATCCATCTGGTTCAGTCCAGATGGAAACTGGACAAATTGTGTTGTAGATAAACAAAAGATCTAGATTATGTAAGTTATGAACTATTTGTCTCCTGTTGGATTTGTAGTTGGATTTCTTTAATGCAGATGTCAAGC